CTTATCTGTAAAAAAAAATAATAATAATCTATAATCCAGTTTTATAGAATCAGTCAAAAGGCTAAATGACTTGACGTAACATAGTTACTCAATAAATGTTAATTTCCCTCCTGAGTTACAGCTGGTAAACATGAGATTAGTGTTAGGTTTTTACCTTATAAGAGTGGGAAATGAATTTAAGCATTATGGTATTAACACCTGCCTTTTGCATAGCACTTGACTTTTACAGAGTTTATTTCAGTGCCAGCACTGAGCCAGTGGCAGTGGTTCATAGTGCTTAGAGGCACTATGTGTTTTCATAATTCACTGTCTACTTCCTCATCATCAGATCTGCTTTTTTCACATTTATTATTTGGTTCTCTTTAGTGATATTGCATAGTATCCACTTTTACTTTTTTTTTTAGTACATAATTGTTCAGTACATATTGCCGGCTACATTTTAGCCTAGCTAAGCTTTGGTGGGCCTAGTCACTATTATAAATTAATGATGGGAAGATGTTTCCAAATTCCAAATAAGTAGTATTTAGTTTTTTAAGATATCCTTATAATGTAAATTGGAAATTCATCTTTTAAGCTTATTCAACTCCCAGAACACTTGCTGATTTAGTGACTTAGTACTATGTTTTTTCTTGTGCATATCAATCATTTCATTATTGACTATTTCACTCAAATCTTTCTCCATATTGTTTAACATATATTGTGAAAAGGACAATTTATTTTTACTTTTACCTCCTTTTGTTCTAAACTTTTTCCTCTCTTATTTTATGCAAACAATGATCCTAGTGTTTACTAGGAATTGTTTCTTTATGCAGCTCAGTCTTATCCTTTAGTGTCCCAAAGTTTGTGAGCTATTTCTAAGGGGTAAAGGATTTCCCATCTTTATCTATTCACAATGTGAGCTGTTATAATGACAAATGAATTCTGGGCAGTGAATCGAGAAGGACACAGATGTCAAAGCTGTGAATTTATAAATGGTCTGTTAAGAGAGTGCTTTTGTCCAATCAGCGCTTTGTTAATTTCACCTACAGGAAGGAATAATTATTCAATTATGCTTCTATCTGACAAAAATCAAATGACAAATGTGTCAGAATGTGAAGGTAAAGGGTTAGCAGGATTCTGGCAGGTGGCCCAACATTTTAGCCAGCTGTGAGGAGGTGAATATAGAACCAAATTGACCTATATCACTGATTACAAGTTCTTTATGAATATTCATAGAACTTACTAACTGAAAGGTAAATAATTTTATTTATAATTTCTAACAAATAGAAAAACTTTGATTTTCTATAGTTTTATGAAATATGATTAGCTTGAAAAGGTACCTCAATACTAGGAAAAGTAAAACCATAATCCTGTTTAGATCGTTTTATTACCAACATATTTTCAAAACTTTTAAAATTACTTTTAGTGAGTTTTTCCTTATGAAAAACTTAATTCTTAGCAGTATTAATTACTAATACATCATATTGCTTGATAGATATAAAACCAGAGGTTAACATACTTTTTTTACCAAAGGGCAGATAGTGTTTTCAGCTTTATAGGCCATAGTTTCTGTCTCAACTACTCGACTTGACCACAGTAATAACCATAAAACCATTGGTAAATAAATGAGCATGGCAGTGTTTAAATTTAACTTTATTTACAAAAACAGACTGTGGGCTGAATTTGACCCTTGACCCACAGTTTGCCAACTCCTGATATAAAGACTGATGGTACTTTTTAAATTTCAATAAGATTTTTAATAAATTCTAAAATAGAAGGACTATATGAACTATGTTAAGTAAGTTGAATGTCTGTGCACTCCAGAGGGTATTCGATTCCCATAGACTGCAATGTGAGTGGCACTCTCTATAAAATATTACAATATGGTGGCCCTGATAATACCTCCCTCATCCATTTCGTTCTTTTCCGTATCAGAGGTATCTGTATCTGGCCTGCTGCCTGTTTCTGTAGATAATGTTTTATTGGAACATAGCCATGCTCATTTATTTATGTATTGTCTGTGGCTGCTCTTACACTATAGCAGCAGAAATGAATAATTTCAACAAACACCATATGGCCTGCAAAACCTAAAATAATTACTTTACAGAAAATGTTTGCTAACCCTTTATCTATATCCTTATGATCCTCTTTAAAGATAAAATTACAGGGCATAATGTGGGAAAGCTTCTGTGATTGTCATACTAAATCCCATGAAGGATGAATAAAGAAGTTTCCAAATATCTAAAGTTGCTTTAGAATTGTTTCTTCTTCAGTGTTACTCATCTTAAGGATCCCATTAAAGAAACTAAACATCCTTTCCTATAGCTGATAGTCTTGCTGGGTTCGCATTTTTAATAACAAACCAGTTACTTTGAGGAATTTGTATCAGTCAGGCATTTAAGCACAGGTAAAAAGTTTACCATGTCTGTGGAGTAGAGGAGAGTAGAAGTATCTGAATTTTCATGGCAGTGGACTCTAGCCCAGCTCCCACATCTGCCTCACAGGCCCCCAAGAGGAGAACTTGAGAAACTTATCAGTGGCACAGCACCAAGTATTTTTTTCTGGGTATCTCACGTGTCAAGTGTAGAAGAAGCAATTGCTTTGATGCCAGCAGATCTTATCATGGGCTGTATTTGGAAGATAATTTAGTGCTGCTGTCATTGAATAATACAATTCCTAAGGCTGTGGATAGAAACAAAGTTTGAGGGAAGGAGAGCGTTATCTCTCTACTGTTTGTCTGAAGGCTAGGTAATAGTCATGAAATTACTTCTTTGGCACATTTCTTTGGTTCATATGTATTTGTTTTCAGTTTGTTGGGATAGGAAAATGTAATTTATATTTTAATTCATGATAAATGTTGATATATTTGAAGGACAAAGTTAAATTTGTTATTTAATAGTAAAAAAAATCAGTATTATTTAAAAATTTTTGTTATGAAGACTTACGCTTGTTATTAGAGGAAAGTTTCTTCCTGAACTACACTCTTCCCTTACTGCTCTTAACACTCTTGGTTTTCTTCTTACTCCTGTGGCCCCAGGTTCTCAGCCATTTCTTCTCGACATCTTTTCTTCTGCACATCTTTTAAACTCTGCTACTCATCATGTATTCTCCCTAGGTAACCTCATGAGCTCCCATAACTTATATTTCCATTTTTATGTTCATGGTCCCAAATTTATATCTTGAACCCAGATCACCTTTTTTGAATTTCAGTCCTGTATATTCAGCTGCTAAGTGGATATTTTTACCCATTTGTCTCATAAGTATTAAACTCTCATATTTCTCTTGGATCTGCCGTTACTTATTTCCTATTATAATGATTAGAACCACACTCTGCCCAATTGCTAAAGCTAAAAACTACCATTCTTGCCCTGGCCGGTTTGGCTCAGTGGTTAGAGCATCGGCCTGCGGTCCTGAGAGACCCGGGTTCGGTTCCCGCTAAGGGCGCGTACCTCGGTTGCAGTTTGTCCCGGCCCTGGTCGGTTGTGTGGGTGGCAGCCACTCGATGTGTTCCTTTCACATCGATGTTTCTCTCTCTCTCTCTCTGTTCCTCACTCTACCTGAACAAAAAATGGAAAAATGTCCTTGGGTGAGGATAAAAAAAATAAAAATAAAAAAAATTAAAACTGCCATTCTTGACTCTTCCGTCTTCCTCACCTCCACAACCAGCCAGTCCTACAGTCCCATGAATTCTACTTCCTAAATAGCCCGTGACTGTATCTCCTTTCCATTCCCACAGCCATCACTCTGCTTCAGATCACCTGGATTATTACACCTATCTCTTATTTTGTCTCTGTCCTAGTCTTTCACACTCCCTTTCACCCTTCATATTACACTCCATATGATATTTCTAAAACCAAAATCTGATTAAGTTGCTACTCAAATGTGAAATTTTTCACTAGCTTATTCTTCTTAGAATAAAGTCCAGTTTACTAATATCATTTGCATAGCCATGTTTCTTTAATTCTTTCTTACCTCTGTAGCCTTATATCTCACTTTTTCTCAAATTGGAGTGTATATTAATTGTGACCCTGTATACACACTGCTCACTCTACCGAGGATACTCTTTCCCTCCCCACTCCCAACTGACTTGGTCTTTAGTTCTTATCGTAACATAATACCCCTGTTCTCCTTTTATAGCCAAATCTGAATTGGCTAGTTCTGTGAGCTCCTTTAGTACCTTATTACTTCCCCTTTTCTTAATATTTATTATATCACAAATAATTACCCATTTATTTGTCACAAATGTCTAAACATAGGTTTCTTGAGAGCAGGGACATGTATCCATAAATTAAAATAACTTATCTGGCACATATATGATGCCCATTATTACTTCTTTTTATAATAAATAAGAGATGGTGATATGAACTGGTCTTCTAAACAACTATAAAATTCCATCACATGATTTTTTTTTTTTACATGTCACATTATCTTTTTAAATGATACGTTTCTTTCTGCATGTTTTAGAGGAATATATAAAGTAAAGATCTAGTATCTTTTTAAAGTCAGCATATTAATAAATATGTTTGCCTGGCCGGTGTAGCTCAATGGTTGAGTATAGACCCATGCACCAAGAGGTCACCAGTTCGATTTCTGGTCAGGGCACCTGCCCAGGTTGTGGGCCAAATCCCTAGTGGGGGGCATGCAGGAGGCAGCCAGTTGATGTTTTCTCTCATCAATGTTTCTAGCTCTCTCTCTCCCTCTCCCTTCCTCTCTCTCTAAGAAGTAAATAAGTAAATATGTTCATTTCAGGATGATCAAATTATGCCATCTTCTTTTAATCAGTAGCAACCCATCAGTGAAATCTTTATTTTAATCTTACCATCACAATAATGGAAAAATTTTTTTAAGGGAGGCTACAAGGTGGATATTTTTCCATGATGTACACCTTTGTAAACCCCCCATAGCTAGTAATCAATTGGTAGTAATCCATACTGATAGATTTGGTATTTATATTTAGCCTTTTAAAATTCTATTTTGTTATAAAGATAATGCTAAGTTGTTGGGTATTTTATTTCTTACAGTCTACCCTGATATTTGCACTATCAGCGTTGTGGCAGTAAGCGATGTGACTAAACATGCTGATAGAATTGCTTTTTGGGATGATGTCTATGGCTTCAACATGTCCTGCATGAAGAAGGCAGTTATTCCAGAAGCTGTTGTGGAAGTTTTAGATCCAAAGACTCTTATTTCAGACCCTTGTAGTATTAAGGTAGGTGTTTTACCAATTTTATTTTCTTGTACTGTATTGGCACTAGTTATCATTTATAAGTTCAGTATTTGAAATGTCGATTTTATATGTGGGATTTCAAACAATAATTATTCTCTCTATTTTAATCAGTCTAAAACAACTTAAAGTCATAATATTTACCAGTTGACTATATCATCCTTTTGAAATCACTTCTCTGGATACATTGATATTCCTCATACTACCTCCTGGCTTTATTCTAGTTTCTTTTTTATAGCCAGATAATTCATTCATATCATATATTCCACACAATTTAGCTTGTCTTACTCAGACTTCTAGCTCTTTCAGAGTAAGTGCAGAGAATTTGTCCATTGAGCTAAAGTCTCACTGTGTTCAGATTTTTCAGTTAATTTCTTTAGTGTTTTAATACTCTTCACCTTGTAAATAATCTAGTTTTATTAAGAATTTTGTACGTCAAATTTACATGGGTTGAATAACAACATTGCTTTTCTTAAAAGCTCCTTGCCCTGGCTGGTTTGGTTCAGTGGTTACAGCGTCAGCCTGTGGACCAAAGAGTCTCGGGTTCGATTCCAGTCAAGGGCGCTTGCCTGGGTTGCAGTTCAGTCCCCAACCCTGGTCTGGGTCATGCGGGAGGCAGCTAGTCTTTGCATCTCTCTCGCATTGATGTCTCTCTCTCTCTCTCTGTATCCCCCCGCCCCCCATCTGAGAATAATTGGAAGAATATTCTCGGGTGAGAATTTTTTTAAAAAGCAAAAACTCTTTGCCCTGACCAGTTTGACTCAGTGGTTAGAGTTTCAATTCACATGTTCGATTCTGGTCAGGGGCGCATATCTCGGTTGCAGTTCAGTCCCTAGCCCTGGTCTAGGTCGTGCAAGAGGCAACCAGTCAAAGTGTCCCTCTCACGTTGATGTTTCTCTCTCCCTCTCTACTACTCTATCTGATGATAAATAGAAAAATATCCTTGGGTGAGGATTATAAAAGAAAAAAAAAAAACCTCCTTAGTTTGTCTTTCTCAAATAGATAAATAAACATAGCTTGTTTAGTGTTCAGTTCAAACATTGTCTCCCCTTTTTTACTCACACTGTTACTTTTATAGCATCAATAATTGTTTTCTGCACAAAGAAGATATTCAGTAAATGTTTATCAGCTTTCTTAAATGAATATAGTACTTAAAATAGCATAGAATAATAAACATTTAAAGTTTTTCAACAAGAGCAAGCTGATTAAAATTGTATTCTGCTTTTAGAGAAAAAATTACCACCTGGTTAATGATTATAGGACTGTTTAGTGCTCTGGTGATAGTAAGGGATTTATTTGCATTCTTTAGCTTAGGGTAGGAGTGTACAGTTATAGCCAACTCAGCCCTAAGGCTGAGCAGAAGGAGGAGGATTGTGGTGGGGGAGGGAAGGGCTAATTTCTTTCTCTAGTGATGTCTTTGCTTAAATGCCCAAAATTGCTATGAGTAAACAGTTGAAATAGAAAATTTAGGACTGAAAAATGAACGTGTTTAAAACGTGTACCTTTTCTCTTTTTTTAAACATTAATCAGTTGTTTGTTTGTTTGTTTGTTTGTTTTAGGTAAATACAGTTTGTTCTGTATTCCCAATACCCCTACAAATAAAGGCAACCACATTGTAACTTTTAAGTTTTCTAAAACTATTTAAAATAGAGTAATACTTCAGGTATATAGTTATATGAATTGTGTTCACTGTGTTATAATCTACTCTTGGCAAGTCAACTGTCGACAGCCTTTACAGCATACTCTAGTCACACTGCTATGGCTGATTCCATCTACTCTCCATAGGAAAATGGAAAAGGATTTGAACCAGGGCAGATTGGGAAAATAAGGATATCTGACCTTTTTTTATTTGAACCTTCTTAGGTAGTTTTGCTAATATCTAACAAATTTACCTTCAACTGCAGTTACAAAGTGAATTCTAAAACATCTGTTCCTTTTATTAGTATATATTTTCAAGTTGGCATTTTCTATAAGAAATTACTGTTATCACACAATTTATAGCAAATGTATACCACTAGTGGTATGCAGAATTTTAGTTGAAACAGTAAAACATTTTCTATTTGAAAGTACTTTAACATGTCTTAGAAAAAACTTGAGCACACCAGAGCCATGATTTGATATATACTGTTCTTACAAGAAGTCCAAGTTAAAAAATACTAACTTGATTTAAAGAAAAATTAAATGATAGTGCTAGTAATCCTTAAATTTGGAAACAATCCCAAAAATGGGGTGTAAATGGTAAATGTTTGCAAAACATTGGTTTATAGTAATCCTTTTTGCATAACAGTAAGTATTTGTGGGTTTTTTGTTCTGTTTTGTTTTGACTAAATTATTTCCTCCACTCTTTTTTAATTGGTAGCATATAGATTGCCATAAGACGTCTGTTTCGGATTTGGAGTTTTCTTCAGATTTTACCCTGAAAATCACAAAGACATCCTTGTGCACGGTAAGCTATTTCATTCTACTTTTGCAAATTTCACTAGCGGTGTAGTTGATTGTCAGGCTAATGAATTAATTACCATTCTTGTGATAAATGAAAAAGATTATTGCCTTTGACAGTCTATCTTTGCCTTGGTTAGACTATTGAACAGATCTGTTTTAATAAGTCAGTAGACTTCAAAAAAGTTTAGATCAGAAGAGCAAGTATTAGGAAACCATGTTTACATAGTGATTTTTCTTTATAGAGTATTCATTATTACCTATTATACAATTACTTTGAGAGCATTCACCTTTATCTTTATAGACCAAAGTTCATGTCCTGCTCCTCCTACTAACTCTAACACTCAGTTGAGATGGAAGTAAGATATATTCTTAGGTACAATATTTTATATTTATGTGTGAAAAATAATAAGGAAACTGATGATTAATCTTTCTTTAAAAATCAACCTGGTATAATAGAAAAAGTATAGTCTTAAGAAAAGTTAGATCTGGACTCACATTTGGTTCTGCCACTCACTAGTTTGATACTTTGTTCAAGTTACAGAGGTGATCTGTACCACAAACTAAAAATTGCACTTTAAAAAATGGTAATGCTTTTTATCTTGAAGACCGGTTACAGAGATTAATGAAAAAATATATGTGAAAGCACCTGTAGTATAACAAGAAATGTTAGATTATTAAAATATATTAATTTTTTTCTTAAATAGTTTTTTTTTATCTTCACCCGAGGACATTTTTGCATTTATCTTCAGACAGAGCAGGAGGAAGAGAGGGGGGAAGAGAGAGAGAGAAACATCAATGTGAAAGAGACACATCGACTGGTTGCCACCCACATGACTCCGGCCGGGGACAAACTGCAACTGAGGTATGTGCCCTTAGCGGGAACCGAACCCAGGGCTCTCTGGTCTGCAGGCTCTAATCGCTGAGCCAAACCGGCCAGTGCTCTTAAATAATTACTAAATGTAAATTAATGCTAAGATAATATTTGCCTGTGGACCTTTACTTAAGAAAGTATGAATTTACATAGGTGGAATTGATACAAATATTATAAATATATCTTCGGTAGTTAAAAATTTTATTGAAAACTATATATTATCAGAAACTGTGAAACAGATTTTAGTCATGTTAACTTTGACTCTAACTTGATTCTGAAAAAATATAAATTTTTTTTCTTTATTGATTTTAGAGAGAGAGAGGAAGAGCGAGAGATAGAAACATCAATGAGAGAGAACATTGATTGGCCACTTCCTGCATGCTCCTGACTGGGGATCAGGCCCATAACCTGATCATGGTGCATGGGTCAACGCTCACCTCTGAGCCACACCAGCCGTGCTAACCTGATTCTTTTAAATATTTTGTTCAGATAGGCATACAAAAGATTTTATGGCTTCTTTAAAATTGTTCAGTTCATTTTGACCCAATAATTATTTTATATCCAAATAAATTTGATAATGTGCTTTTATGTTTTGAGAAATTTTTTTTGTTGAAATTGGTTTTACAGTATTTAAAAGTTAAATATCTAGATCCCAGATTTATAATTTTGGTCACCCATTATATTTACTTAATTGATGAAAAGCAAATTTTCATCTTTCCCCCTTGTTTTCCCCCAGATTTTCTACTGCAATTCAGTAATTGAAATGATATAGTCAGTTGAAATTAGAGTAAAGGCTTTAACTCGTAAACTTACTCTGTTTTGATATTAGTAATCCCTAAACATTAATAAAGACTTCTTGATTAATGACATTTGACCGATCTGTAAGGGAATTCTTACACAGAAATTAATTGTCATATCACAAGTATTAAATAATATTATTTTCTACTTTCAGTGACCTTCACAAATGTAAAACTGTAGTAAAGACTTTAAAAACTGTGTTTGTTTTTAGTTGTGCATGTTTTTGAAATTTAAATAGATAAATTTATTAAGTTTCATTAAAATGTTCTTTATTTTCTGGGTATTGGTCAGGGTTCTTAGTTTGAGACAAAAGAATCCAAATCAGCTTGTTTAAGCAGAAAGGCGTTTACTAAAGAGAATAAGATAATTTCCAGTCACATTGGAAGAGCTAAAGGAAAGGACTGTATTTTGAATTTCTAGAAACAACTCCTAGAACCACACTTTAGAACTGGCCTTTTGCCAAGCTACCAAGTCTAATGCCCCTGATCCACTCAGTAAGTGGTAGCCACCACTGACAACTCCAGATGAATAAAACTGTTTACTGCCATCCTATTCTTATCCCCCTGCCCAACTCAGTCTGTCTAGTTCCTCCTTACAGATCTTCATTTAGCACATCTGCTTGGCTGAACCTAGGTTGTGTTGTATCCTAGATATCAATAAGTCTTGGAAAGTAGTTATAGCTACAATAGTACAGAAGTTTTATGTTAAAAAATTGCATTGATCCTTCTATGATCTTAGTTTTATTCTGTATATTTAAAAGAGTACAATAGAAAGAAAACAAAAAATATGAAGTGTGTTTAATCCAAAGATTATCAAAAATTATTGAAGAATAACGTATCAAATAGGTACTTATTGCATTTGTCCCTGTACGATCAGAGTTCAATAAGAAAAAGGAATCAGAAACAAAGTTATCTTGTATCTGTAAAGAACCCTTTAGATTTACATTTCTATTTCCAATTTGCCGGATGGTTTTAGTATAAAACTCTGGAAATGAGGCAAGCCTAGGGTTTGGGGAGAGGTGGCAGGAAGTGGGACTGGATGTGTGTATTATGTGTCTGATTACTGCTGAATAACTCACCTTGAGAGGAATGTATAGTTTCAAGTCATATTTATTGGAAGCATGCTAGGCACTGACCGGTATAAACTTTAGTAATTAACATTCATTAACTCTTCTGAGATTATTCTGTCAAATAGTCAATATAAATTGTCTTCCTATGGTGATATCTCACAGTCATTGAACACTTGCATATTAGGCAATATGCTAATCACTTCAAATGTATTATTTTATATAGTCCTCATAATAACCATTTGAAGTGGGCATTAATATTACTCCCCATTTTATGGGTAAAGAAAAAAATAAATCACTATAAAGTTTTACTTGTGAAATATCCTTACTCTTTTCTGACCAAAGAAACCAGTTTCTTCTTGGTGAGATGTATAAACTTTTAAAGGAGCATAGAGAAATGTTACAAATGGGATATTCATAACATTGAAGAAAAGACGTTGCATGTTACATTTGAAACAGATTTGAAAAATTTTATTGTCAGCTACAGAGTAAGCTTGTAGTTGTTTGGTTAAGCATTGACATTTTTTAGAAATTTCCTTTCCTGCCCAGCATGCTTACTTTATTTATTTATTTATTTTTAAATTTTTTTATCCTCACCCAAGGGCATTTTTCCATTTTTTGTTCAGATAGAGTGGGAGGGAGAGAGGAAGAGAGAGAGAGAGAGAAACATCGACATGAAATGGACACATGGAGTGGTTGCCACCCACACGACCCATCCAGGGCTGGGGACAAACTGCAACCGAGGTACGCGCCCTTAGTGGGAACCGAACCCAGGTCTCTCTGGACCACAGGTCGAGGCTCTAACCGCTGAGCCAAACCGGCCAGGGCCCTGCATGCTTACTCTAACATGAGCCTAACATGAATAAGATTTTGTTGCCTAATGCTTTTAGTATATTTTAATTATTTGTGAGTCCCAACTATTCACCATATCCACTCCAACTCTTTACACTCTTCCCCTACCACTGTCTGTAGCTAATTATTATGCAAGCCTAGTCTCTAAGCCTACTTTTGAATAGATAGATTATTCGCCTGATTACTGAAGAATAATTCATAACAGGTAATATAAAGGATGAGTGCCTAATTGGAACTTTGTTTCTCCTTTATGTAGTTAGAGGAATTAGTGAAAATGCTAAAAATAAAAAATAGTTCATAGTAAGAGGTGGAGGAAGTTACTCTGGGGAGGAAGAGGTGTGGCCTTTTTAGATGGAGTGAAGAAAGAAGTATCCAGTTTTGTATTGCTAAGTATAAACCTTCAAATATACGAAATGTTTTTTTTCTTGTGCTTGAGACTTGAACCCATAACTTAAAAATAAGAAGGACAATTTCTCTGAGTAATTAAGCCATTTCAATTATACCCATAACCGTATATTTCTTAATGGGATTCTAAATTTGTGTCTTAATTAAAATATTAGAGAAAATTGAATTTTTCAAAGTAATAAGATGCTAAGAACACCCCCTTTGCATTTAATTTCAGTAGCCTGTGTGCTGTAGACTGATAGTTTTTTTGGTGGCTTTCTCAAGTTTGTTAGAATCTTCAATAAAAAGCATCTTTTCTTTGCAGTCTCCTTCTCCAACATAAACACAGACAGACACCCACCAAAGAAAAAATTTGATAGCATTTTAAATTTAATGTACATTAACAAATTTTATTTTAATATACAATATTTATATGTAAATGTCTTGAATTTATCTATAATGGTTAAAGGACAATCTTCCAATGAATACTAGTAAGACATACATAGCAGTTTTCTGAGCATTTTTTACTGTATTACATGATATTATTCACAGTTTAGGTCAAATCACCTTTGATGAAGTATGAAGGTTTAGTTAGCAACTGACTTCTGTCATATCAGCCTGCCTAACCTTGCAGTAAATGGACAATCAAGTCCATTATTTTAATGGAAAGTTTATAGGTTTTCAAAAGCAAATGATTTAAGGGTATACAGTTTGGAACTGATATGTTTTTTGTTGTTGCTGCTGCTGTTGTTAATTCTCACCCAAGGATATTTTTGCATTGATTTTTTTAGATAGAGTGGAAGGGAATGGGGGAGGAGAGAGAAACATCAATGGGAGAAAGACACATAGATTGGTTGCCTCCCTCACGTGCCCCATCCAGGGCTAGGGATTGAACCTGCAACCACCCAGGTAGACGCCCTTGACCAGGAATCGAGCCCTCGACCCTTTGGTCCTCGGATTGGTGCTCTAACCACTGAGCACAGGCAGCCAGGGCTAGTTTATTTTTAATGTCATTTATGTAATGTTCTTTTTA